GTGTGTGTGTGTGCACAGGGGATCCTCCTTTGTTTATCAAAAGGTTTGGCATGAATACAGTAAAAGAAAAGCCTGAGAAAAGACAGAAAAAAATGTAGGTCCTTGGAACAGGATCACATACATTCCACACAGAGCCCTGGCCTGGTTTGTTGTCTGGGTGCAAATGGTTCCCTCTGCCATGACTATTTCTCAGGAGGTCCATGTGGGTGGAGAAAGGCAGCAGAGAAGCCTTCAGTGTCAGTGTAGAAGAAAAGGCCTTCCATAGGGTTGACTGAAAGGCCTTCCATAGGGTTGGCTGTGGCTTCTCTCCTAACAACCTGGTGGCTTTTGAAGCAGACAGAACTGCACCCCATCACAACATGTCTTGATCTGGCATTCACTGAGTGTGCGTAGGAGAGTGATTAAATGTCTTTTAGCTACAAAGAGGGTCCACTCATCTTTGACAAAAGGCACTGCTGGGGACTTCTGTCCCTAAAGAGGTCACCACAGGATACAAAACAGAGACTGAACAGGTCTTCTGTGCAAGGCACACTTAACATGTTGCCATAGAAACCAGTTACTTAATTCAGGCATACACAATTCTTCCAGCCCCCAGTGAATTCCAGTAATGGGTTTATTATATCACACTTCATTGGTGTCATCTGTCACACAGACACTCACATAAATGAACCAGCCTTTGATTCAAAACTCCCTTACACTAGCTAGACCCAATAGGGGAAGGGTCTCCTTTTGGGCCTGGTGGTTATAAGCAGGTCAGTTTTCTACCCCACTTTGCATGCTAATGTCTTCCTTTCATGCTAACATCATATTCAATGGAGGAGAACATTTGTTTTCATTTCCTGATATTCCAGTTTATTAAAAATGTGCTCTTAATCTCTCAGATCCTTGAGTGCATGTGCTATCAGGATGCAGGTTTAAATATTTCAGCCCCCATTTCCCCCAATATGATGTTTGAACTGTAAGTCACACTAGTGTCTGATTGAATGTTGTGCTGATTTCTCCTTTTGTTTGGGCTAGAGTTTTGAATGATATTAGCTGACCAGAAGGCTCTTTTAGGCTCTATGGCTATAAAAACAGTGTTTTTCAGGTATCAAAACAGATGGATGGGCAAGTAGGTAAAAAAGTCTCAGTTAATGCATAAGACTCCATGCCAACATTCCCTGTAGATGCACTTATAGTAAATGAACCAATCTTAAAAACAAGGGGTTGGATTTAGCTCATGATGTTATATTGGAGCTTGGTGTCCTGAAGCAGATGAGCATGGCAGTAACTCCCTTAAGACTAGTTAAGAATGTTCTCACTTAAGAATAAGATAAAGATTGGAAGCATTTGTTTCCCATTTAATATATAACTTCTTACAATGATGGAAGTCAACAGGAGAAACATAGGGTACATAGCAGGCCAGTCAGGACTTCAGACAGACTAGTGGAGGAATTTCACTAAGGGGTGTTTATAAACAGACAAAGTTAGGTGTTGATTTTGTGGTGCTTCGTATGAAGCAAATAATGTGTAAGCAATTGGCAGTGAATAAATTATTCTGTGTTCCAGACCAGAAATCCCTAATGAAGCAAGTGTATTGCCAGAAGAATTAAGATGAGGATTCTAGGATCTCAGATAGATAATCTCTGAAAAAGTACTCTGGATCTGAACAGGAGTAAGGGATTTAACAAATGCTCGGGTAAAATAAAAAAAGATATTAGAAAGTAATCTCCTTGCATTTCTACATGAGTTATTCCCCAGTGTCTGACACCTTCAATCTCAGACGTATCTTATCTGAGACAGAATGGAGATGTGACCCTGTCAGAGGTGAAAAAAAGGGACAATCTACCAGATACAAGGGATGTACCTTAACTTACTGATACATTATGTTCTGCTGTGGCATTGTCACATTACACATCCAAATGTCTTTTGCTTCCATTCCAGTTTCCTAAAATTTTATCTTCTGCCAAGTTTTCCACTGTGCTTCCAGGAAGAGACTCTTCCAGTGGTGTTGGAGGACCACCAGAATGTGTTGACACAGGGAGTGCATCTCAGTTTATAGATGTGTGTCGATTACTTTAGCTCTATCACTTTCTCCTTTCACACCTACATTGTCAGTTCTGGAGCCAGCTGACCTGCAATCTTGTTTCATAATGTGTCCCAGCATGGGCTTTAAACCTATGTGTTCTCAGTAAGCCATCCCTTTTTCTGATTCCTTTTGTGCCCGGTTGAAAAAGCAATTTGTGTCTGTTCTCCAAATGAATAGGACCCAAGAAAAACCTGAGTGTCATGTGGTGGAAATGACTTCAACCCTCTCAGTAAAGAAACCTGGCATTTATCTCAGAGCATTAATTAGCATTTAAGTTGGAACAGTTTTGGTCATTTCAGAAGTGCTATCAGCTTCTGATGTGAGCCCATCAGCAATCCAAGCCACAATCAGTAACTGGATAGGTCAGAGAGGAGATGAAAAAGAAGCAGAGGACACTGAAGAACATAGCACTGGGGATTCAATCAGCTGTTTCCAAGTAATTTGAGTCAGTGCTTGAGGGGATGCCCTGGTGATATTTGTGACACCTTCAAAATAAGGTGTAAAATTGCAGCCCTGAGATGTGTGGGCAAAGCTCCTGTGAGACTTGTATTAACAGTAACAGCGTCACTCCGGCAAATCTGATCAGGTCTCACTTTAAATAACTACACTCTGCCTTCCTTCATTTCAATTCACAAAAGAATCTGCTGTGTCATACTGCTGACCTGAAAAGCCTGATGCCTCTGCACCCTTGTCACAGTGACTTTTCATGGATTGATTAAGAGGTCTCTGTAAAGTCTGTCCAGAACTTGACAATCCTTTTGGGTTAATGTGCTGTGAAAGAGTATTTGTCTTGTTCTGTATTAAGTTGCCATACAGATTCCTGTGTGATGCTTTAAAGCTTCAGCACTCCTCCCCTGGAGGAAGTGAGCTCTCTGTGTATTCAATTCATGTTCATGGAGGTATTTGGGATCTGCAAGGGTATAACCTGTAAATATAGGACTGCTCTTACTATTACTTTTGTTTTCTGACATCTACTACCACAGTGTAGATTGATTAAGCATACACATACTCACTTCAGTGTAGTTGCTGCCCAAGCTGACAGAGTAATTTTGACACTTGTAATCACAAAGGCTTGTTTTGGATGGATGTTTTATTATTTGATTTTCTGCCATCCACTTCTCAGATTTGTTGCAGCAGCAACACATGGTCTCAATGATATTCCCCAAGGTTAAGTAAGCACAGAAGCCACCACAGTGCAGGGCAGCAGGGGGTACTGTACTAGAGAAGGAAGAGTTGGTTTGCATTTAAGGCCGAGGCATTTGCTCAGACCCTGTATTCTGTCCCTTACTCAACCAGAATTGTTCTGTTCTGTCACAAAATGCTTCACTTCTCTGTGCTACTCTTTTCCCATCTGTGAAATGGCAGAAAGACTCTTGTATGTGTGCTGAAGATCATTAACTGGATCTTGCAAAGTACTTCCAGATTTTTGATTGGAAGGCACACAAGAGTGGAAAATTATATTACTTGCCGAGATTCTGTATTGACGTGGCAAATGGTAATCCCTCTACAGAAGACATTTGGATGCATTTGAATTAAGTGAATCATGGTAACTGAGCAGCAGAATTACTACTCCAGAAATAAGGCAGTTTACTAGTCAGATGATCTGCTCCAGATTTCTAATATGCAGAGATGTCTCTTAGCCTGTTGCACAAAGATGAACTCACTCTCTCCTCACTGCTGTTTCCCTGTCTCGGGTATGCACACTAGTTTCTTCTCATGTGCATTTTGAAGTGCACTGCTGAAACACTGGGGTTTTTGAGCTTATCTGGACCTGTTCCTCTCACACTTAAACTGAATTTGCAATCAAGTATTACTTCCAGAGAGGAAAACCAAAAGGACTGTGACTTCTCTAAGGAAGAGAGAAGGAAGTGAAAAGACTCCAGCCTCTGTTGTGACTACAGGAATATCTTATGATCTCCCTTTGTGCCTTTATGTCTTCTCTGTAAAATGATACCCATGATATTCACCATCTTTCCCATCTAAACTGCCAAGACTGATGAGTGAAAAGAGTTATAACTAAACTGAGGATCTGATTACTAAGCAGTAATTAATATTCTTGTCAGAGGAATTTATCAGAGCAATTGTACATTTATTTTTAAAAAAACCTTTTGTGTATGTTTAGTAACACATCAGAATATTCATACCAAGGGAGGAGCTTTTCCCAGTGTTGAATAGTGAAATCTGGCTGCTCACTCCCTCTTATTGCTTCCACACAGTTTCATTTCTGGAGTCTATGGTTTGATACAATCATCCGTCACCACCAGCAAGAAAAGTTACATTAAACTTAGGAGAATGATGTATTTAAAGGTCATCCAATTGTCTAGAACTTTTTACATGGAGAAGAAAAAGAAAAACCATGCAGTTCATGTCATCCTAAAGCAGGAAAATGGCTTGGATAAATCAGGCATTACAAATGTGAATTTCCCT